ACTGCAGCGTTTCCACCAGAGTTGAGAATTTCGATGCCACATTTCGCAGCCAGGGGTTGCGTGCATGCAACAATTCCCTCTGTGCTATAAATGGCACTTCTTCGCGAGGGAAATCTGGCGAAATTGTTGCCCGCATCAAGTTGTTGAACCATGGCCGTCGTATTGCGGCGTTGTTGGAGGAGAGGGGTTGCGGTGTCCCTAAACCTTGAAGCACAACTCTGTCGGGATAGTATCTGAGCACCGCTTGTTGGGGTTCCGAGGGTGTTCATTCTCTACTTCAACGAATCGATAAAGGGTGTTATCTTCTGCAGTCTATTGCTGGAATCCCGAATGCCGAGGGCGCAACTATGACGTTGAGCCGCCCTCGGGGTCCTCGGGACCCCTGCCTGCCGGGCGTGATGAATCTACATGCAGGGCGTTAACGGCGGAGCGGGTCTGGACACCATAAGTTAGTGATAGACGCGATAATCGATAGATTAGTACTTACTTATTAAGTAACTCTTGGCTCTTGGTAAGATTGCTCTTATTATCTTATATTCTTTATACGTAGTTCAGAAGTTATCAAATTTAAAATAACTTTTTTTATATGAAAAAAGACTCAAGTGATAATATTTTTAAAATATAAAGTCAAGAATACTTAATTTTTTAGCCAGTTTACTTAAAGTAATATATTAAGCTCAAGGTGCCTTCCCCCGCGTTTATACTTTGAGTGCCACGTCCTGAAGACGCTTTGACTTTGTGACCCTAGCAAGTGATCATTGATAACAGGTCTGGTGCAACCAGTCAATCGGAAACTCTTACCCCAACTCCAAAATTAGGCTCATTCGCAAAGCCCGCTAGTTTGCGGGGGTGGCTGGCTGAATGTTGACCGGAGCTTCAATGTTGTATCCGTTTCAGCCACAGGATGCGGCGCGAAGGGCGGTCACGGTTTGGCAGCGTACAGAGGCGTTATAAAATAGCAACTGGCTCTCGCGGTCCTAGATGCAGCCCAGGCCTGTGCCTGTGTGCGTCTTGTTGTATTTCGCATTCCAAGATTTCCGTGTCCGTCACAATGCCTCGTGGAGATGGAGAAATATCTAGCATCATGCAAGTTGACGAGGGGGAGCCAACAAAGCGAATTGCGACCAGAGACGTGGATGCGGCCCTCAAATTCCTTGACAACCAAGGGACGGTGCCTTCCATGTCAGACAGTGATGAGAAGCGGCTCTTGCGCAAGATTGACTGGCACATCATGCCTCTTCTGACTTGTTGCTATTTTCTTCAGTATCTGGATAAGACTTTGCGTGAGTGCCCAACCCCTGATTCATTTGTAGTCGAATGCTCACCTATACATGGCATGTATCAGTCAACTACGCTAATGTCATGGGCATAAAGCAAGACACTGGGATCACGGGCAACCAGTTCTCCCTGTTGGCTACAATCTTCTATATTAGTTTCATCGTTTGTGAATTCCCCACTGGGTATCTGATGCAGCGCTTTCCCTTGGCTAGATATCTAGGAGCCAATATCATACTTTGGGGTATCGTGGTCTCAGCAAATGCTGGTAGGTGATGAAAAGCTGTCAAGCCGGTTCAGCTAACCTGACTGGATCTCCGTAGGTGCCCAGAACTGGGCTACGCTGGCCGCTCTCAGAGTCTTGCTAGGTTGCTTCGTTGCCGTCGTCGCTCCGGCACTGATTCTTATCACTGGCATGTGGTACAAGCGGTCAGAGCAGCCGCTCCGTATGGGCATTTGGTATCTGTCCACTGGCCTAGGGCAGATTGTCGGCGCCCTCGCTTCATATGGATTCCAGTTCTATCACGGCCAAGATTTTAAATCCTGGCAGATCATGTTTCTCCTCTTTGGCCTCCTCACCATCGTGATTGGCGTGGTCACGGTCTGGATCCTGCCCTCAAGCCCAATGACGGCCACGTTCCTCTCGCACCAGGAGAAGGTCTGGGCGATTGAGCGGCTTCGCGAAAACAGGACAGGTATCCAGAACAAGCACTTCAAGTTGCACCAAGTATTTGAGTGTTTCCGGGATCCCCAGGCCCTGCTCATTTGCCTCATTAATATTCTCTCGAATATCCCCAACGGCTCCGTCTCCACATACCAGGCCGCCATCATTGAAGGATTTGGATTTTCAGCCAAAGAAACCGCGTTGCTCTCTGTGGGCTCAGGAGCCGTTGCAATTGTTTCCACCCTTGCAGTTGCCTGGTTTAGTGGCCGCTTTAATGCCAATGGCCTGGGGATTATATTCCTGGTCGCTTGTGGAGGTGTGCTGGGTGGTGGACTTGTATCATTCTCACCGAAAGATAACCAGGGACTGCAACTCGCGGGAAATTTCCTTACGAATTTCATCGGATCGTCAATGGCCCTTCTTTACGCATACTCGGCGAGCAATTTCGCCGGCAACACGAAAAAGGTTACCATGAATGCGATGCTTCTCGTGGCGTTTGGTAAGCCATATGCCCCGTACTCCCGCGTGCCATGATGGACCCAACAACTGACATGGTGGCTATAGGCATTGGAAACATCGTTGGGCCATTGACCTTCCAGGATAGTGACGCGCCGAGATACATGCCGGCCAGGATTACCATTTTAGCAACGAGCTGTGCGGCGTGTCTTCTTACTCTTGTTCTCATGGGCTACTACTTCTATGAGAATCGACGGAGACAGAGACTCGCTGCAGCTATTGAGCATCATGAAAATAACGAATTCTACGACCTGACTGATAAGGAGAATATCCAATTTAGAGTATGTATTCTTTTGAGAAAGTGCCATGACGAGTCGCTAATATTTCCAAGTATCGCTATTAGTGAGCACACACGTCGGCAGACTGTCCTCTTCCGGTCGGACTATATTTGATTTGCGACTAGTTACAACAAGAGCTGGGATCACGCGATTCCCCTGTAGGTAGGAAGTTGTCAGTACATTGTTAGTATACGAGGCTGATAATAATGTAAGCCCTTATTATATAAACCTGAATAGCTGATTGGGTTCATACTTGAAGACCAAGTTTTCATTATATACTTCCTAGTCCATCTTCTAGAAAGTTGCCAAGGTCGTCCCGATACCCTTAGCTTTGGCAAGTTGCAGAAGCTGGTGCCCTACCGCCATGTCCATAACACCTACCCCAACGCTTTTATACAGGACAAAGCCTCTTTCGAGCCATTCAGTCTGCGCGGAGGGGATGTTTTCAGATCCAAAGATTCGTCCGACCTCGAGCATCTTACTCGGATTTATACCTGCGCTAACTAGCTCTCCGGCCTCTTGTAGACACCCATCGCGGGTGTCAACCGTAATATGCCCCTCCCACACATGCTGTGAGAATATTCCAGAATCATCTACTATCGCCTTGAGGAGCTCCGGATCGATCTCTGCCATGTTCAGTCGGTATGAGCCGATAGCAGCGATGTATCGTGTCTTCCTTCGAGCACTTGCTGAAGTGAGGAATCTCGCAAGGAAAAGAGGTTCAGTAGCTGGAGTGGTACAGAAGATGGCATCCGCATCTGCAACCAGGTCTTCGAGGCTTTCGTTACATTCCCCAAACTGGTACAGCGTGATGTGTGACGGCCAGGACGTATGTGAGTCTTTAACTAGACTGTCGATTAGTCGTTGTGCTCGCTTATAGCTTCGATTGACAATGACGATCTTGCGAATATCCTGCGCACGTAGCAACACAGCTAAGCGAATATGCCACTGTGCCTGCTTCCCTGAGCCGAAGACCACGATGTTACCTGTCTCCTTGCGAGACTTGTAGAGGAGCATGGAGCCCAAAGCGGTGCGGAAAGCCGTAAGCTCCGCAGCGTTGAGTATACCGACGGCTTCTCCTACAGCATTACACAGGGTAAGGACGCTACATAGCGCTGGTGGCCGTGGTGATGCCTCCGAAAAGGCGCTCGGGAGCCCGGAAGAAGGAGCAATGCCCACAATTTTGACACCAATTGACTGCGGTGTCGTGGCGGGCATGAACAAGCTTCTTTGCCCGTCCGGCCGAGAAATAACAGAACGTTCTGGCTGATACTGCTGCTCATTCTGGCACGAGTAGGCGACAAGGCCTGCTTGCAAGGCTGTAATAAATTCGTGGGTATCATTTAGACTGAGTTCGCTCAGCAATTGTTTAACGTTATGATCAGATAGCACGGTGAAAGCCATGGTGCGCGTTGAAGAGAGTCTGTGTACTATACACAACAAAGTAAATAAAACCTAAGTGGCGACATTCTGTGAGAGAATGTTCCCGTTCATGCCACATATTATCCGAGCGCTAAAACCGTCTGGAGACGGATTACCCCAAAGCCCCAAGTGACGGAATGACGACAGGAGACACTGATCCTAGTAGTAAGCCGCATGCTGAAGCAGAATCGGGTAAGTGGTGAATAAGACTCGGAGAGACAAACTGACTAACTTGATGACTTGTATGACTAGGCGGGGTATTACATGACTAAACAAGTGTATGTGTGTGACAGACCTCTCGGAGGCAAGAACGGACACTTTGGAACTTGGTTGAGAATAGTACCAGACTTTTTGAATCGTCCAGGATACCAGCGCGGACTGTAGCGAACTGACGTGGCCAACTTATCCATTTTACACAGGTTGTGGGAGTCGCTTAGGATAACCGCAAAAGCTCTTGCCATGACGGTCTCCCCGGATGCATCAGATACAAAGCATTTTGGAAGAGCTAGGCGTGCTTGCTTTACGACTGTGTCAAAGTATGGTGCTCGAGGCTGGGATGGTTCGGAGTTAACCCGACTGTCAACGGGGCGGAACCTCTCACCTTGCCTTGTTAGTTTGTGAAGCATCTTGCCGCCCACAGCTGACGTGACTACGCCGCTCGCATCCCAGGCCAGGTTAACGCAGATACCTATAGAAGCTGATGAGGATGCTAATGGTACGGGCACCGAAGCGGTTTTTCACATGAAAGAGTGAGTCCCATGGCGGAACATATGAACGCATGTGTAGTAGGATGAGTACAATCATCATCCACGTCACATTTACCATGCACCTTGTGGCGATACCTGCTACGAAACGATACAACCACGCGCAGCCTCATCTTTGTTATGTACAGGTCTGGCTGTATTTCGTCCAACTAATTCGCTCGTTGGGATCATGCCCAAGGCGACCTGCAGATGCAGCGTACCATCGACACCGTCCTCTAGCCCTAGAGGCATGTCCCATAGCTCCTTCAACTCTAGTTGCTTCTCCCACATGTCGAATCTTTTCAAGAACTTGTGCACGCTGGCCAGTGCACTGTCCAAGCTACCACCAATCCACCCATGGTGCGCACTGCTCGCCTCTCCGCAGATGTGGAAACGACTGTCCGCCGCTGGGCGTGTGAGATAAGGGTACAAGTTGGAGAATTTGCCAGGCCCAAATAGTGCAAAGGCGCCCGAAGTGAAGGGGTCGTGCGACCAACTCCAAGCGTGGTGTGATATGTAAGCGTCGCCGATAATCTGGCGAACCTCGTCAAGAGTAGTCAGACCATGGTAGGAAATGGGACCCTGTTGTTGGAAATTCTTCAGGTGTACCCGTGCCAAATTATCTAATATCAGGTCACGAAGTTCGTCATCGTGGCACGCGATCAGATTGCCAATGCGTGTCGCATCCTGAGCCCATGTATAGCTACAAATCAGTGTGGCCGACTGATCTTGCGGATCGCGGATATTATAAGATGGATACACGCACGTACGAAGAGGTGTATCCGTGGATGCCTCGCCGCCGCTTGTGATGCCGCATTTCGTTATCCACCATGGATAAGAGAACTTCATGGCTACCTTTGCACTATCATCGTAGTCTAAGCTTCTGATTGCGCATTTTTGACTAGGATGCAAGTCGAGACCAGTCAAATCCATTCGTTGCAGACACGGAAGACTAGTTGTGTTGAAGACGGTAGTATAGTCCTGACGGCTTCCTTCGGGTTCCCCCGCGACCGAAACAGTGATTTCGTTGGTGTTTGGGTTCTGATTGTATTTTCGCACCCGTTTTCCATGCTGCACGGGTTGCTTAATAGTCTTCTCCATGGCCCGGGTCAAAAGTGAAGAACCCCCGTCGATGCAGTACCACTTTATGGTGTCTTCTCTAGGTCCCGCAAAGTCAAAAGAGTCCATGACTGACTCTGAGAATGCTTGATCGAAGAGGCCACTTGCTGTGTTATTAGTCTCCAGCCACTGGATACTGAAGAAGTCTAGGTATTTGAAAGGCATCACTCCATTCTTGACAGGGGGCGGATTTTTGAGAAATTCGCGAGTGGTATAGCTATCATATTGCATCAAAAGCTTGAATCCTTCTTCAAAGTCCGCAGCCATCGCCTTTCTAAAAGGCTCATAGGCACTATCGAGCAGTTTGTTCACGTCATCGACATTCTTGTCAGGCACTGAACCTCCGTTTGCCTCACCCACACGAAACGGATCAGACCCACGCGGCTCGCCATCAATGAGTGTTATATCGTTATACATGGTCGGACATTTGACGGAACCGCTCTCTTGGTTAAAGTAATAAGGGATCAGCGGAAGATTCAGTTGCTTGAGAAGCTTGAAACTTGACTTCATGATGCCGATATCAGGAAATCGCATGGCGCCGACATCGTAGTAATCGTGTGGGACATCGGAGAAGTAATGAGTATATAGTCGTCCCCCAGTTCTGTCTGAGGCTTCGAGGATATCATATTCCAGACCGGAAATTTTCAGGCTGTCCAGAATCATAGCAATGAACAGGCCAGCAATACCGGCACCGACGATACACACTCTATGCTTGAAAGTCAAGTCATCAGAATTCTTAGCAGAGACTCTTTCATACTCCTGCACAACATCTTTCGGGAGATCGAATGGGCTTGAAGGGGCTGTGTGAACAAGGTCGCGTAGACGAGGAGCCGAGAAGGAAATACATTCAGGTTGTGAAGTCGTTGGTGAGTAATTCTGTTTCCGCGGACTCTGGTCAGTCCCTTTCGCCAGGTTATTCATCGTATGGAAGATATTCTCTCTGATAAGCCTCGACGCCCATCTTGAGCGAAAGCCATATTCATCCATGCTTGTACTTGGCGTTTCCATGTTTGTAGGAGTGCAAAGGCTGTGACTTAGAAGAAGCGGGAAGGGAAAGATATCTCTATCTCGTAAATTATGAATACATAAAAGCCCTGGACAATTTTATTCATCTCGCCTTCGATTACATTAGATATTATCGCATATGAAATGAGTGCCGATTAGTCAAGGGACGGACCGCGGCCAAACAGAAGCCCCGTCATAACTGATCAGTAAGACTTAGGTTCGGAGTTATCTGACTTTACGTCTCCGACGTAAGATCTGATTGGATCTGACGCAAGAGTCTTAAATTAGATACTACAAAATCAGACCCCCACATGAATCAGCAGAGATGACTATGTAGATGTAGTCATCGTCGCCGAGACTAATCAGAACCTACTCTCCTGTCATATCATAGTCAGATATTGGTCTATCCTTTTGAGTCACATCGACGGCATTTCACAAAATAAAACGAAGAAGAACAGCGTGACGAGAAGAGACGATACCACTTCAGACAAGAATGCCCGAGATGCAACGCAGCATCCTTGCTGCAAGAGCGGCAAAGAGCGTCAATGGACACGCCGAGACACACGGTGTCAACGGGGACACAGAGGCCAAAGGCACCAACGGGCATATTCGGACCAACGGCAACTCCACCGGTGCAGTGACGCTCGAACTGGACGCCGCCATAGTCGGGGGCGGGTTCGCAGGCGTGTACTTGATGCATCGACTGCGACAGGAAGGGTTTGATGTGAAGCTTGTCGAAGCCGGGTCGGGCTTGGGGGGGATCTGGCATTGGAACAAGTAAGTTACTTGACGTTTGCCAAACCGCGCCGCTAAAGGGTCGATCGGCGCATATTTGCCTGACAGTGTGTTTCCAGTTACCCCGGCGCACGGGTCGTAAGTTGACGTTCTTCCCTGATTTTGTCGGTGCGCTGGAGAAAGAGAACGTGGCGATTCGTAGGCTGACATACGGCCCCCGTGTCCATCAGGACAGTAAATACCCCGTCTATGCCCTTGATATCCCGGAGATCTACGAGACGTGGGAGTGGAGTGAGCAGTATCCTAGTGCACCGGAGTTGCAGCGATATTTTCACCACGTCGACAAGATTCTGGATATTAGCAAAGACACACTATACAACACGCGGGTTCACACGGCACGGTGGGATGACGAGACGCATAAATGGCAAGTCTCTTGTGATAATGGAACGGAGATCACCGCGCGCTTTCTGCATGGCTGTCTCGGATTTGCCAGCAAACGCCATTTCCCCGACTGGCCCGGGCTCGACACTTTCGGCGGACGTATGTGCCATTCTTCATTCTGGCCGGCTGAAGGGATCAATGTGCGTGGGAAGAAGGTGGGAGTGATCGGAACCGGAGCGACTGGGGTTCAAATCGCGCAGACCACGGCGCGCGATGCTGAGCAACTGACCGTATTTGTCCGCACGCCCAACACCTGCATGCCAATGAGACAGCAAGCGCTGACGCGCGAGACGATCGATAACGACAGGGCAGGGCTCAAGCAGTTACTGGGAACGGATCGCTATAGAAATTCTAGCGGATTCTTGTATCCCGACTCTGAGAAGAATTTGGTCGACGATTCCCCGGAGGAGATCGAGCGTACACTTCAAAACGCGTGGCAAGTTGGCGGCTTTGCCATCCTTTTTGTCTACAAGGACCTGCTCCTCAACCCGGAGGCGAATCGAGTCGTATACGATTTCTGGGCGCGCAACACCCGCAAGCGGATCTCCGATCCAGTCAAGAGAGATATCCTCGCCCCTCTGGAACCACTGCATCCATTCGCCGGAAAGCGGGTGAGTCTGGAGCAGGATTATTATGAACAGATGGACAAGCCCAATGTGAAACTCGTGGATTTGAAACAGGTCGATATCACCCGAGTCGTGCCGCAAGGCATCGTCACATCCGACGGTGTGACGCATGAGCTGGACATGATTGCCATAGCCACGGGGTTCGACAGTCTGACTGGCAGCTTCACTCAGATTGACATCCGCGGCATCGACAACCAGAGCCTGTCCGAGACCTGGAACACGCAGCGAGGAGCGCTGACGTATCTGGGGATGGCGGTGCACGGCTTTCCAAATTTCTTCTTCACCAATGCAAGTGCTATGTGCGAGTGCCTGGGCGCTACACTTGACTGACGTGTTGTATGCACAGGGACCACACTCACCTACGTTCTATAACAACGGGCCATCGCTCGTGCAGCCTCAAGGTGAATGGATTGTTGACATGATGACATCCATGCGAGCAAATGGCCAAATCAAGATCAACGCGCAGCTTCAGGCGCAAGAGGATTGGAAGAAGCTCACCAATGAGCTACATTCGGTCTCGTTGAGGCACAAAGTCGATAGTTGGTATACTGGTGAGTGCTCCTCCATACCCGGCCGAAAACGAGCACCGTTCAAGTCAACTTATTGTACGGCCAGGCGCGAATATTCCCGGAAAACCACGTCAGGTGCTGAGCTACGACGGTGGGTTGCCGCGATACCTTGAGACCATTCGACGGAAAGCCACAAATGGATACAACGGATTCGACCTCTCATGATGCAGCCCTCTTTCGCTTTGAAGACGTGAGCTAGACACAGTTAGCGCATAGATGTCTTGCGACAATGATAAGCGGGCAGCAAGGCAGGGTTAGCATTCGTGAATTGGTTGAGTTTTTATTTGATGAACAAAATGCAACGAGAAGGAACATGCAGCGGTGTAGGCCTTCGCCGACCAGAATACATTCCATCTGTACCTACTTCTCTTCATAGTTGGTCCGTGCGTGTTCGTTCTGATGATGAATTCATGATGGCTTATAGGTTACGAGAAATATAGCAAAGTCACACGTCCCGTTGCCTATGTCACATTACAGCTGCGCACTCTTCGTTCAGCTGCGTGGTAGTTGTATGCAGCACCCCCCGTCCCAACAGACCTGGCTTCAAGTTGATTGGAATCACGACTTGTATCTCTGCAACGGCCTCAAAATCTGCCCATCGTCTAGTCTAGGGCTAAGCATAGATGGATTGGAGAGTCGCTGAAAGACAATGTGTATTTTATCTCAAGACAGGGTGAAGGCATTAGAAGAACCCAACTTGTTGAAGAAGCTAATACTCCGCATAAAGCCCGAGTAAACACGATATGACCAGATCTCATTGCAAACCCTGAGCTGGACTAGATCGAAAAATATAACTTTGTATTAAGTCGTGGATGTCCATAAAATGTCCGGCGAGAGAGGATCCATGCGATGCGACATCTCGGCTTGAATAGCTGGACTAATAGCCATCATTTAGAGTGCTTCGAGAAAGAAGAAGATAGTGGCAAGCCACGAGATGAGCCATTGCAGAGATGATATGTACACTTGGTCACAGTACTGTGGCTACCTGCTTTGCTATCAGTCACGTCACGATGCCAGTCGGGCAAAAGCCGCTGTATTCGACTGGTACCGAACTGTCTCCCTTGGCTTACTGGTTACTTGACCGCACCATCTTCCTGGCCACGGTAAAGCGCCAAGCCAGCGATGATCAGGCCCAGTTTCGTCAGGCGTTGCGGGAACTGTGAATTTCCAAGGCAATCAACAAGCTTGGACCAAGTGAATGAGCGTGCTAGAGTCCAGGCGTCCGGATAACTGCATAAGCATAATAGTAGCAAGAGCGGTATTTGAGCGGTCATGCCGCCAGACACCCTGGAAATTGGCTATAAGCGCCATTATGAGCCCCCACAAGTGCGGTTGCTGTAGGCGATGTCAGCAACTTAACTGGAATCGCTTGCGCGGCAAAGTTACCTCTTTTCGAATCAAGTTCTTTATTCTGTGTAGATCAGGTGCCGTTAGGCAAAGTTTTCTCGGTGAGGTGAGTGTTGCGCTTGCAAGGGAAGAGAGATGAGCCTCGAGGGCACTACGCGCGGTCTTGCTCTCTAAAATCAGCATACTCTCTGCTGTTCTCATTGCTTCCTCATAAAACCCGCGCTGTTCTCTATAAGGCCACTGTTTCGCTGTCTTGGAGAGTTCCGCAAGGATTCCTGGCAGTCGCCTTGTACGACTGAGTTGCTGCTCATAAGCAAGCGGCGAAGACTCGCGGAATGCCTCGCAATAGTAGGTCATTACTAATGCATCAAAATCCCTGAACCCAGCAGACTCAATCTGCTTCATGATACTCTGGACACGTTCATCTAGCACCATTTCCTCTGGTGATGGCGTGGGAAGACTAACAGTCTGCTCTGGCCGGCAGTTCTGAAGCGCGAAAAGCGCTCCGTTGATGTAGTTGCCTGACGATGTTTCTGATGCTGCAGTCGCCGTCGTATCTCCGACTTCAAGTCCCCAGAGATTGTTTGAGCCATGAAAACTCATTCCGCCAGTTTCTTCTGTCGCAAAGAATGGCTCGACTTGTTTATCTGCTCTTGGAGCCACTAAGTTGTTAGCTAAATGCCGACATTCATGTTTTGACTTGGGAAAGTACAACCGGATGATGTATCCCTAGACGAAACAAACACTGTCTCGCTTAAACCATTATGTGCGTCGCCAGGTTCGCTTGGCGGCTGGTCCTCAAGTCGAACACAGTCAAATATGTCTTGATCGACTGAATGTGGAGTGCATGAATCTTGTTGAGCCGTAGAGAAGTTTTCGCGGTTTGATGATGATTTTGCATTGTTTTGAAGTTGCCCAGTTTGTTCATTCCGCTCAGATGCCCCGGCTTCATGTTCACGAAGCTGTTTTTGGAGCTCCTCTATGCGTGCCTTCATACGAAGACCTACAGAATCAGCGACTAGTACAATATAGCCCGCGACTGTAGTTCCTTACGGTGATTTCTTTGCGCGACTCGGTTTTGTATACGCTTTTTCTCCGCGGGGTCACTTACTGTGCTCCAGTCTTCCTCAGGATTGGCGTCAACATAGCCGCTCGAACGGTTCAACGCCTTTGGAGGCACTCTGTGGCTAGCGTCGTTTCTCTTGGGCATTTTATCTAGTCACGCAAGGAAGACTCGCTTGGAAAAGAATTGACACTAAGAAGCTCTATTTGTAACGAAGCGCAAAACTGTCTTGGGCTTCTACAGCAATCTCCGCCTTTGTAATGTCGGCGCCGGAGAGGCTAGAGCGCTTTTATATTAGCACCTGCGAGCGGGAACTAGCCCAAAGAGCGTATTGCCGCATATCAGCGCTATAGCTAGACCTTATTGGTTGCAGCCGCCCACAGGCTCATTCTTGTGTGTAGCAGGGCCTCAACCTTTGACGCCTAGTCTCGCGATGTACAGCCCCGACGTCTGGATCTTACGCCAAGACCTCAATCTTCCCTAGGGCGCTTATTCCCCGAGGTCAAAGCCACACCTATTTTTCCGCGTACGGCAACGCCCGAGCAGTGTAAATACCGTCTGGTTGGCGTCATATTTCGGCTAGCTAGCTAGGCCCCTACATATAGTGAGGGGCCAATTCAATACATGGACCCTCGTGCAAGTTCCGGTAGCCCGTGCAACACTCATCACGACAATCATCGACTAACCGCTGCCAAAAATTCACTCTTGATTGGTCTTACATGCCTTAGCGTCATTGTAATCACTAGTCTTGAACAATATGCGGTGCGACAGAAGCAACATGATTCAACTCTACCATGGTTCTCTGGGTCTCAATCCAAAGAAGTGCCAGCGGCTCAGCTGACCTAAGACGCAGCCCCAGCCGAAGGTGTCCGAATTCAATGGCACCTCGATAGGCACACAACCTATATCCACACCACCCCCTTCCCCTCGGAGCATTCCGAACTAGTGCTAGTGCAACCAGACTCTCCCGGGGCGTTCCCCGTGTGGGGCAAAAGATATCAATACTATCAGCTGCTCTCCGGATTTCCTACTGCGGAAGGCAGAGATCTGCTGTATAACGGTAACTCCACTTTTATGGTGCGGGCTTTAGCCGGCGATGAATGACATAATTCCCGGCGAATTAGTGCGGGGAAAAGTTTCTAGCGCTGTTGATGTAGCAATGCTAAGACCGTAATGGTGAAGAAAGGTGCGCTACTAAAGATCCTGGGCATTTTCATCCGTCGGATCAACGGATGGCTTAGGGTTGTCTTGGGGTGAGGGTGGGTTGTATCTGTTTATCTGGGCTAGAGTGCTTTGGACGCTCGTTGAGTTGCCTTAGGCAAGGGACTTAACAGCTAGATCTCCGGCCTAAAGGGTTATACTATATACCTGCAATTGAACTTTATGAGTATATACTATATATTAAACGGGTTTAACCCTCCTCTTCTTATGTAGCTTGTAGGAGGACATCGTCTAGTCAATGTAGACTAGCGGGTACGGTCGGTCAGCTGTTAAGCCCGACGGCGTTGTTGGACAGGTAGGCGGGTTTGCATCCATGCTTTCCAGTTAGCCTGAACGGAGCTCGGAGGACACAGTTGACAGGCACATGAACTACATATGTATGATGAACCTTCCGTGGGCGTGTGGTTATAGAGACTCTGACGATCGAATAGCGCCTCAAGGAGCAAGCCTCTAACCGAAGTAACCCGTGAGACAGCAACATAGCTAATAGCAGCCTGGAAGTCGCGTGTATTGAGGACAGTGGCAAGTGGAGCAACTCGGAGAATTAGGCCATGCACGTCAATTTTCAATGTCCATTCTTGACCAAAAATAAATAACAAAATATCTCCACATCAGTCTACGTTAAAACCTGGATGAGGCAGCGTTGCAACTATGGTTATTAACAGGTTACTGGCACAGTCTTTGACATCTACACCACCCTTGCTAGTAGTTAATACATTGACAGGCCCCTGGTACTATATGGGCGTCCTTGTACGGGAGTCGAAGTTCAGCGATGAATTTGCGAGCCAATACAATAGACCCCTGACGATCCTGATGAATACCCATGCTCTAGAATTAGGTGAAGAAGAAAAGGGCCGGCGTTCGAGGCCGTCAACATTCACTCCTAACTAACATGAATTTTGGGGGTTTGGTCCTACAAGCATCCAGAGCAATCATCCTGTCCGTGTTGACACAACTTCGGTCTGAGATGAAATGGTTAATATATAGCTCCACGACTAGTCTCTGCAGAGCGGCCGCGAGAAAGGAACAGGCTCTGGATAGGAGCCCACCGAGAACGACTTCGTTTGCGCAAACTGCAACAACTTCGGGAACAGTATGCGGGGAACAACTTCGTCAGAGTCACCGACTCGTCAATGCCAGCTAGTGGCCTGACATCAAGTTAGATATCGGCAAACCATGATTGTGTACCCAACAGCCCGTTTGTCTCAGCAGTATCTCCCTTAAGGAATCCAGTCTCCGCTACCTTGGAAATCGAATCTTCGCCAGCGACTGCCGCAGAATTGGCGCCTACGGCGTCTACGGAGACACATGTCGCACATGATATCACGACCAGATCGTAAAAGCAAACGAAATTGGACGCTATGACAATAGAAGAAGACCCTGCGGTCTTGCGACGAGAGCAAGCACACCTCCTAGTACAGAGCTACCGAGCCAGACGACATGAATCGTACTTTCAACCCAACGAATAGACAAATTATTTATCCAACACTACTGTGGATGCTGACGAAAATCGAGAGGATGGGACGCGAGATATCCCTGATCTGTCGCAGCTCGCTCTAGAAGATCATGCGGCGCACAGCTCCTTGTACAGCGCCTGTGCTCCGGGACCAGATAACTCATGTTGGCCTACTCCCGGCCTGGGTAGCCTTCCGCCTAGCTCCCGCTCGACTTCCGACGACGATTCACCCTTGCCCCTTCCAGATGACGGCAACACACAACAGCCTACGCTCGACGGTTCTTCGCCGCCCGATAACAGTATTTATCAGACCCGGTGCTTGGTATTTACAAGCAAGAAGGTCTTCCTGCAGCTGCTCGCCTTACACCCAACTTCATCGATTCTTATAATGCCGCATATCATAAAATTTTCAAGGAATTCTTCAGGCTGGCTTGCAATTGTAAGCGGCGTGTTCAGTGCGACACCGTTTTAACTGTTCGAACTAATAGGCGTTGCGTCTCAGGCTGTGCCATATCGGATGTCGACGAGCCCGAGGAGGTTCATACACTCTAGCAGAGAGTGCGGTTTCTGCAGTCACTCTTGCAGGGACTCAATACACTAGCTCTTACGATCCTAGCAAGTCATTTCATCAATGCAGCGATTTTCTGGGCGACTGCTCAAATAAGCCACTATCCTTCCGCAAGACGCATGTTGAGCTACTTCACACGCTCCTGGAAATCTCGCACCGGTGGGATGTCGACAGTATATGGATTGGAGCCAAGACGCTCGGAGCTCTCAAGTCACCGAACGACACGACTTTTTACTCTGCTTTCTCCCCTCTGCCACGCTTAATCACTCCACTAATCAAGTGGTCCAACCATATGGACTGAGCATTGCGAAGAAAATATTGGAATATTCATTTCGGCACTGTCGACGTTTCTAATTTCCGTTTTGCCGTGTTCTTCCTGTCTCCCAACGCTGATAAATGACCAAAGTTGCAAACTTGAGCCTCAAAAAATGCTCTCTCGCTTCAACGGCAAAAAGGCTTTTACGACGAAATTATTTTCCTAGCAGTATGTGAGAGAATGCTTGACCCATTTCGACAGGAAATACCACAATCATATAATATGTTGCATGTAAAGTCGCGCTCCTACCAGGAGAAGCTTGGCAGTATTCACTGGAATCCAGACGATTAGAGTCGAGCCTCCGGTATTCTATGCTAACAGAGTATTTGGCTAGATTCTGGAGCTCAGTCATTGACAAAGCAGATTTGCTCTGGATTTCAGCTGCTAGTGGCGCCGAGGTTGCGTATTTCCAGTACCCGCAGCTGTGACTCCAATCCCATGGCGTGACAAACAGAATTTGCGGCTTGAATCTACAGGACACTTTAACGGGTTTCATGGAAAACGGGTTAAAGGCTTTTAACCCAGAACAGAACAGCTAGAGTTGCGACCCCGTTGGATTGATATTGTATGTAGGGATCACGTCACTACCCAAGGGCTAACAATTTTCCAGCCGGACCTTTTACTCTGGTTTGGAAGGGCTATTGTAGCTACCAACTGCACGAACGACTCTCCGCTATTACTCCCGGCAGCCCTAGGGATTATAATACTGAGCATATATTAAAAGTTTCTGTCTAACTTGTCCTCGTATACTATCCAGCTCAACCTTTATGTTACCTTCTAATATACTTGTTGAGTAGTAAACACACCTGGATATGGAAGTCCAAGTAGACTGTAGGAGACAAACAATTGAACCGGAGAGCTAAAATAGTGGAGCGCTAAGGTCTTGGGCTTGACGAAGTTATAAAGTTAGCTGGTACCTAGAATAGGCTTTCTACACTTGACGCGTTAGCCGCTCTAGATTTTTACGGCTTAAGAGGCTTAACGTGTCTAAACCACTATTATCCTCTGCCTTCACACGACTAACTCAGCCTAGGGTAGTATCAAAACAGCTACAAGAGGCATGCCTAAATGTGTTGCCTGCGAACCCGACTATCGACGACCTGCCAAAAATCCTTTGGAAGAACCGTCATTTTCTCCAGAAAGATTCACTTGCACGGAAGGGTGCAAAGGGAAGGAAGAGCTGGATTAGGTGGCATGGGTTATTCCTTATTGAATTTAATTACCAGAATCACCCAATTGGCAATGTCTGGTACTACAGTCAGTGCGACATAAAGGGGAAGCTGAGTCTTTCTCAGTACAGGCCACCTCGTCTGCAGCAGACCGCAAGCACCGGTCTCTTAGTCAGACACTTAGCAAGCTCATGTCAGCTATGTCATTGACACAAGAAGACATCTATCTCGGCTCGGGGGGACCAATGGATATCTACCCGATACGTACACTTGATATATGTACATGTCTATATATTCGATGTCCCCATCACATCTTTCCCAGCAATCCAGGATACGACCGAGCTAGAAATCAGCGATCGAGCTGGCTGCATGTAAGAATCATGCCTTCTCACGTTTACGACGTTATTGTAGTAGGCGGCGGCGCGATCGGGCTTGGAGCTGCATATGAGGTAGCCAAAGCAGGCAAATCTATTCTGGTACTCGAGCAGAGCTGTCTCTTTAACGCTAGTGGAAGCTCCAATGACCTAGCCAGAATGTATCGCACCATGTAAGTCAAAGGAAACGCTCTACAGGCTTTCGCTCAAACAGGACATATAGGTATACTGAACCGTTCATGGCGGAGCTTGCTTACAAGTCCATGGGCATTTGGAACGAGCTAGAAATGGACGCTGGTACATCTCTGCGCGTAATGTCAGGGCTCCTGAATTTCGGAGACACTACAATGGGAACAGACACCCCAGAAGGTTCTCATTCAAGATTTTCTGCATATTTATAAAAGATACTAAATATGTTTTAGGAACACTCATGGGACCTATAGCTAATCTGGAGAAGCTGGGTATGCCGTTCCGCAGGAGTACGTGTCTTACTTGAATATACAATTCTTCTGAGCTTATAAGACATTAGTGACGAAACAAGAAATGGAAAACGAGTACCCATTCAAGAAACTCCCAGAAGCGTGGGAAGGCATCTTCGCTCCAGATAATGGCGTGATCAATGTCCCACTCCTGGTTCGAACTCTAGCACGGCTGGCCAAAGACTATGGCGCTCACACTCAGCAATATACCGAAGTCAAAAAGCTCGTCCCTGTTAAGGAGAACGGCGAAGACACGTGGAGGGTCGAAACCCGTGTCAACGGCGACGAGGCTGTTTTATTCAGGGCTCGAAAGATTATTATAGCGGCGGGTGCATATACAAATCACATCGTGCAGCCTAGTTTCAATTTCAAGCTGAAGCTCAATATCTGGGAGATGGTGGCATCGTATTTTTCGGTCAATGCTGGTCCTAGTGGAACGCTTTTTCCAAGTACGTCATGGTAAACATTGTTTGCGAAGCTGCTAATCGTTACCAGGTATGTGGTTCCAGTTCGCGAACGACAAGCATGGCAGGTCACGGCTGTTCTACGGGTTTCCAACAGTCGAATGGGGTCCTCCCAACGTGTGTCGAATCGCGGTAGATGCGGCAACAAGACAGATTACAGACCCCAATCTACGATGCGGTAGCGTCGTGAACCCCGAGGATATACACGATACACAGCAATTCATCAAAGAGCACCTGGTGGGAGTAGATCACATGACGCCTGCGTACACCTTATCGTGTCTGCAGACGAATACGTTCGGTCCGTACATTTCTCTCTCCAGGGCAGTCAAAAGCTGACAACTCGAGTCAGACAACATGTTCGTATTAGACTATATTCCGGAACAGTATCTCCAAGGCGGTGCAAGAGATAGTGTGGCAGTGTTCACCGCCGGCTGGGCTATGAAGTTCGTGCCGCTGATCGGGCGAGCCCTGAAGGACATGGTGCTGAATGGACACTCTGAGTATGCGTTGGACGAGTTCAAGATCGATCGTCTGGATCCCAAGAGCAAAGGAAAATATGGCAAACCCCAAGCGGGCATCATTGACGAAGTGGATGCCGATTTTGCCAATAGCTGGGAGCATCTCTAGTAGCAATTATATATGCATCGTAGTGCGAGCTGAGTGCGTATTTACCACTAGACATTGAGGCTATAATGGCAAAAGACGACAAGTTCTTGCCAGACACAGCTGTTGCCGCGTGCAGAGTCTTGTTCCTCGCGCGGACACCTTGCACAATTGAAATTTGCCGAGAGATATTTCCACTGCCTAGATTACTACATACAGTGTAAGACTATGAGATGGAAATCAGTCAGAGATATTCCATACAAGGTCAGTAAGTGATGACGCAGCGCCATGATAAAACGACGCCACAAGTAATCCGGGCTGCGATGACTACATTTAGTCAGCTTTTCAGACGTATATGGACATCTGACTGTATCCGACGCAAGGATAGAAGGAGTCTATTACTAAGCATCTGAGCACAGATGGCCTCAAAAGTAACAAATTGACATCTTGGAAGTCATTAACCTTTGCAAAGCACTGATTTCTTGGAGCATCAAAGCCGCACCATAAAAGCTGTGCAGAATCAAGTCAACGTGCTCGACTAGATACGAAAATGACAGAGTTCAAGCAGAGCAACACGGCCAAATATCTGACCTCAATCTACTCTGTATCTACACCGACAGAATGTGCCAGTATCTACGACAGCTGGTCCGAATCATATGACGTTGATGTCGTTCAAGGGAACGTGGAATATGTCGCGCCAAGGGCGACCGCACTTCGCGCCAAGACTGAAGGCGGCAACATGACTGGAAGCATACTGGACGCTGGCTGTGGTACAGGACTCGTCGGAGTCGCCTTGGCACAGTACGGGGCCAAGAATATCGACGGCATTGACTTATCTTCGGGAATGCTAAACGAGGCCCGCAAGACCGGCGTCTATCGCGACCTGTCCATTGTTGATATGAGCAAACAAATCGACAAACCAGATGAGTCCTATGACGTAATCACATGCTGTGGCACTTTTACTCCAGGACACGTCGGCCCTGATCCAGGAATCAAAGAACTTGTGCGTCTCGCGAAGAAGGGTGGCGTGATAGTTGCAACCATCACAGACGTCATTTTCGATACCGGAGGATATCGTGCCGAGATTGAGAGACTAGCTAGTGATGGATTGATAACAATCGTAGCGACGGCGAAAGAGCCTTATCGTGTTGGGTCCAACACGTTGGCTCATATGGTGGTGTTGCGCCGGAGTGACCTGGCGATTGGCCATTGAGAATCTGAGTTCACCGTTGATGGCTGCTGGGCTATAATAAGGAATGATGCTTGTATCAGTCTCCAAGGTATTTTGACCCTTCTAATGTATGATGCATGAACCTCGTGCAGGTCTGCCGTGCTGCAGCGTCCTCAACCCTGATCCGTACGATATTAATCTCACTTGCGTAATATTTATGACTCTTGACTCTGATCAATGACAGTCTCAAGTGACTATATTACTTTGCAACGGTACGTCAACATCCATCTTTGTGAGGCATTTACCCAGCGTGGCCGATTTGATTTGTTTCCATTACATGCTGTCCAGCCATATATGAACCTCGGCAGTCTGCGTCTTTCGCAGCTCCATTGTCGCATGGGTCTGACTTCAATGTTCTTTACACACCCGGCCGTGGCACACAGGTGTTTGACACCTTCGTCATCACCTCCGCAGACGAAACATTCAGCTGGCTAAGTGCACTTGCCAAAATGGTTCAGGAATCAGCAGTTTTGCATAGCTTTAGATTTGACAAGTTCTATTCAGTCTATGGGGTTCAAGGCACACACAATGAGCTCATGCCTTCGCGCGCCCGTCATCTTCCACCTGGACAGCCTCCAAATTGTTACGTGTTGTTTCTCCCTCTCCGGCTTTTGAGCGAGGGCCGTCGAACTTGACTTCAGTCCATTTAGCCGCGCAGATGAAGAGACTAGCACACATCGTCACCACACCCGCCCATATCTGTGCCTTGAGAAAGCCTCCATTGTCGCTTTGGATCAAAGCACCCGCTAACGGCGGTCCTGCTAGTGACGCGAATGCTATAAGGCTATCCACCATGCCGAAACGAACACCTAGCTTGCTCAAGTCCGCGGTCAATGATGCGAGCCCGCTGACGAACACTGTCGGAGGTATACATCGTTAGTCAATCCTCGAGGTACGATCGGCAGGGATTGGTTATGAGATGTAATCTGACAATAGGACAAGCCAAAGGTAAAGGTAAATAGAAGGGACATATACTGACTTCCTTGAACTGCGCCGGTGGCAACTCCGTAAAAAACAGAATACACGTAAAGACTGCTGACGCTGCGCACGGCAATCCAGACAAACAGCATTATAGCGAGGAATATCGTCGACACGATCAAGGTGAGCAGTGAGCCAAAGTATCTATCGGCAAGGAATCCAAGTATCGGTCGTACTGGGATGCCGATAGCACTGATGATGACGAGCAGGTTCGCAGCTTCCACCGCAGAGAGGCCTACGCGCAGGGTCGCATATGTGTTTATGAAGAAGAAGCAAAAATACACGGCTGTAAATATCAGGACTACGCCGATCGTGAAGAGGACGTATGTAGGCTCCGTGAATGCCTTCCATTCGACGAGTGGCCCCGCCTTGCGCGGTGGAAGACGTGGCCGAAAGACAAGGATGACGACGGCTGCGAACGCTAGAGCGATATAGCCTTGGACGCGGACAGCGCTAGGAAACCCAATAGTCGCCTGGAGATGTTGAATGACCAAAGAGAACAGTATGCTGCCTGTGCCGCTCCCAGAAGCGGCCAATCCTATGGCAAATGCTTTCCTTTTGTTCCAGTACGAGCCGACTACAGCCATTGATGGCACATAGCAGGCACCCATACCGAGACCGGTACAGAGGCCTTGTGCGAGGAATATCTGCCAGTACTCGGTCGCCAAGCTTGTCATGAAGGTTCCGAGCACGATTAACAAACAGCCCGCCACGGCTGCGTGCTGAGCGTAGCCCGCATCGGCAGCGCGGCCGGCGAATGTTCCTAAAAAGAAGGTGAGAAAAACTTGTAGGGATCCAATCCAGGCAACTTGCGACTCGGGCAATGACAATGTGGTCGTGTAATGAAGTTGATAAACGCCAAATGAAGCGGAATATCCCCATGACAAAGCATTGATGAGATGACTTGCGAGGATCTGGAGCCAGGCCTGAACGCCGCCATCAGGAGGGGGGCCGGGTTCTTCCTGGACCAAGGGGAAAATTTTGAATGGCATGGCGCGGATTCTTCTGTCATGATAAGGAGAAAAGATGTGAGACGGGAGAGAAAAAGTAAGAAGGGGGAGACATCTGTCTGTGTCGATGCGATCATCAAAACAGCACAGTAATCAAACACACGGCAGGCGTGCATGCAAGTAGTACACTAGCCCGAGTTTGGAAGAGACCCAGCTCCACCAGCCAACTTGGCTGTGGCTGTGTCTCTAGTCGGGGAATTGAATACAACGGCAAAGGTATTAATTGATTTTGAAGGTCTTTTTAATTAAAGATATTCGCGCTGCTTTGTTGGTGGCGGCATAAGGTGATTCCACTGACAAGTACGCCCCAGAGACTCAGGATCGGCCGGAGGGATTGGCAAAACTGGCCTAGGGCTACTATTGTATGTACGGAGTATTTGTTGCATATGACTAATACAGGGATAGTCTAAGGCGACAGATACATGGGCATCCGGACAAATGTTGCGGTCTGAGTCATGTCACGCAAGAGCCATCTTGCCTTCCGAATCGGTCCCAACTATTGGTGGTGGGCGGACCGTCGAGTTGCTGTCAAGCAGGGTGTCTTATTTGCCAGGGCTGCGGGAGCTAACTTTGGCGCGATCGGCAGCCCACACAGAATCTTGTATACTGCTTCCTGATTAATACTACCGACATGGACTGAAGCAGATATATTAGCAGCTCTCTCCTATTTGCCCGCCTCCCACATTACCTTTTTACTGGCCTCTTGATAATACCCCTGTGAAGTCCCCTGCCTTCTATCTCTTTGCTCCTGTAATTCATCGACAGCTCAACTTGTCTCAGCGCTGGCCGTGAGGCCAGGCACCAAAGCGTCAACTCGCCTAACCGCAAACAGTCAACTATTTATGAACCATGTAGACGGCACGCATCTCAGCCCGCTCTATTTTCATCTCGATAAATTTTTAGGGCAGTGTAGCTGCGCACGTCTCTATTTACTCTGTTGACTGCCTAGGTAGCCATCAAGCTTTATTTGCCTTGGACATCGTATGCTTCAATCATCAACCTTACCTCTTCGTTGCCTGCTTTTATTGCCGTTTGCAAAGCTTCTTGCTTCCTGACAAAAGGGTCTCTCCTAGCAAGCATCTTTTTCAAGATTCTGTTGATCAGTAAATTATGCTGTGTACCGGATCCACGCACCACAGAAATCTCAAGCCTGGCACCATCATTCCAATAGTCGAGTAAGAGATCAACAATAGAACTGAATCCCACCACTGTGGCTATAAGCAAGGCAACTTCCCACTCTCCTACATCTTGACCGGCTATGTGATTACCTTTTAACAGAACTTCAACTATATTGTCTCGACCGAGCATCGTACTAATCAGCAGAGGAGACCAAAATTGAGCAAGGATGCCGTCATGTTTAGGGTTATCTTCCTCAATGAGTTCCATCAACTCCAAAGTTGCCGCTAGATATCCGGGATCTTCAATGCCGCAATTGTGGGCTTGAATCATCGAGAAAGCAATCTCCCTGCTATAGCTCGGCAAAGTATCCATACCTTGCAGGATAATCGTAACTGTGCTAGAATGCCCGCCAATGGAAGCTGCCAACAAGGCAAGATGTCTTTGTCGATGCGCACCGCTCTCTAGAAGCAACTGCATGACTTTGTCACGTCCGTTGAATCCAGCAGCAAGGACGCCATCATATGCTATTGCCCCATGTTTGAGCAGAATCGACACCACATTATGGTGTCCCATTGTTGAGGCTCGCAAAATTGCATGTTTGAGTGAACAGCCATATGTCGCTTGCCTCAAAAAGAACTCAACAACGTCACAATGTCCTGCATCTGACGCTACTGCGAGAGCTGAGTCCCAATCTCTTCTAGACCTCTTGAAAATGCAAATGACAAGGTCATTCAACCCAAAGGAAGCTGCAATGTGAATCGGACTTGCATCGCCTCGAATGACGTCTTTTTCTACATGAAGTATCCCCAGCTCAAACTGCCTGAGGGACAAGCAGGCTCGGAACAAAAGACCCCCATTCAAGTCATTTAAAGCCTTCCATTGCTGGAATATCGCCGATGACTTATCAAAGAGCCAGTCAAAGGAGCTGTAATCCAGAGCCTGGTCCTGGTGCTTTGCATGAAAAGTCCAGTTGCTTCCGGCATATTCAAGAAATGGAAACTCCTCAAGAATCGGGGCTAGCGCCCTACGTCGATTTCTTAGCCAGTCTACTGCTGCGTAGATTGGATGGTTATCCTCCTTTGGATCTTGAGCAGAAACTTGACCGTCTTCTTCATTAAGATGGCTGTCTTCTTTGTCCAGATGCTGTATTATAGGTTCAGCTCGCTCCTGGAATCCACATACACTTAGATACCTATGAAATTTTCAGCTGATATTACCAAAAGTATGACGAAAACATATCACCTTAGAGAAACTTCGGCTAGAGTAGCATGATCCCTAGAGGGAACGATTTGTATATGAGGCTCTAGACGACCTCCATTGCCATCAAAAGCAGAACCTAAAAGAAATTCCTTCGCTGATTTATGCACCAAATAAACTTCATCGTTGAGCACCTTCACAAGAGGGCCCAAGATCTTCAAAAGTTCGAGCTCCACGTTGAGGAACTGGCGTCGAGCTGAGTATTTCATATCTCTTGAACCAGACTCGAGCGCCAAAGCCAGACCCAATTCGGCCGTTTTCAGTGGCCTGGCTGCAAGTGTGATCCACTTGAGGATGTTAATGGCATTCTCCCGATCTGCGCGGGTCAATAGACTTTAGTACCGCGTTATAGACACCCGTCAAGCCGCTTGGGATTCTGTCGAGAAGTTGCTCAATACCATCTACTGTGACGATGCTTTCCTGACGTAGTAGATCCTCAGCAAGAGTCACCCATAAGAAATTACCGTCCGCTTTATCTTCAATCTTTCTTGCAATATCTCGCTGTACCTCTGGACTTATCCGATACAGGTTTGCAAATGTTTTGATCTTGGCTTGGATGACTAAGGATAAATCGCCGCTGATGTTTTGGTGCTGTTGTTCCATTGCGAGGACTAAGGATATGGGATAGCTGATCATAGCCGCTTTAACTGTGAAGGTTAGTCTACACGTCAAGAAGACCTTGAGTGGCAGGCGAGGAAGGGCCGAAGGAAAGACCAGTTGGTGGAAATGTTGGATGATGAAGGTTTGAGAGTGATCGTCGCACTCGTCCAATCCGTCTATAACAAGGGATGGACAAAGACCGTCCAATACAAGGGCTGCGAAGAGCTCCCACAGAGTCTCCAAAGCCCATTGGCTCTGATTTCGGGCTCGGTAATATGGTAAGACAACCTTGAACGCCGAGCCAGAATGCCGTACAAGGATTTGATGGATCAACACAGTGAGAATACCATGAGCTGTCCGTTGTGAAGGTATAGCGTTGTTGCAAAAAAAGTACGTTGGGCGAATTCTTAATTCTTGCAAGCCGCAGAGCTCGTCGATCAAAGCCCTTGAAATCACTGTCTTGCCACAGCCTGGAGGCCCGTTGACGAGGAGGAGTTGCGATGACGTAGTATTAAGCCATGTGCAGTAAGTTTCATGACTGCTGAACCACTTCAAAGTCCCGGGGAACTTCTGAGGAGATTGAAGAAGGTATCTCTCGTAATCGCAGGTTGAAAAGGTATCTAAACATTCTTGCTCTTCACTCGTGAGCTCTGCCGGTATGATTAGAAACGCTTTGCTACATAAATTTGATCGATTGATGATAAGCAAGAAGATCCGGCGTTGAAAGGAAATCTGATGTCAGGACTTACTCGACAAGCCTGCGATCTCTCCGGGATCCATGATACGTAGAATTTCTCTTGCAACTGAGGCTGCAGTCGCTGCCGCATAGGGTTTCCACATATCATTCTTGTGGGAGTCCGCATAATCTGATATGCCTCTCAAGACGAGACAATTTTGCCTGCCTAATATGCCCGCCGCCTCCATCTCAAAACAAATCGCTTTCTCCTCCTTTCTTATTTTGTCTCTAGCTTTCGGGTCCTGCATGACAGAGCTTCCACTGGCAATTGTGCCAAAATGCACCTCAAGGTCAGTTGTGTCTCGTGGTCGTCTGTATATTACTCGCTGAGGGTCGCATAAAGCGCAGGTAGGTGTGCCGCCAGGATGCCGGTATGTTGCCTCGTAGAGCGTATCGTTAATAACTCCTGGATAGGCGAACTTACTTCCTACCGAGGGCTCTTCGGTGCACTTCTTGAGATGTTCTTGAAATTGTGCCTTGTTGAGGATACGTTCAGATTGGAGTTTAGTGAGCGAATTTAAGATGCGACGATCTGGTGGGGGAAAGATACTGGTTCGGTCGATTTTCCCGCCTCGAAGTCGTTTTCCTGAATCCCATTGAATAACTGCTGGGTTTCCACTCTTCGACCATCCAATCACCACGTCTCCCAAATGTATATCTTGCTTGGGGTCTTCGTTCGGATTCTCACATGGGATGCCACCGCCTACGCCAATCAACAGGGTTGCCCTAAGATTCGGAAAGGTTTGAGTCAACGGATTGACGAGATGACTAGCACTGACAACTCCATTCTGCCACAAAGGCAGGCTGACAATAACAACGTTATGACCGTATATAGATCCACAAGTATATTGATTATCGTCAGCACGCGTGTCCAGAGGAGGATTCTTGTGAAACTCATCGAGCATCAGTTGAATTGCAGATAACTCGATAGCTAAGGGGCAGATCAACGCCACAGTGTAGGACTGTGTCTCGAGCTGTCGAGGGTTATCCATCACAGGATATCGGGCTGCAGCCTTGCTTGGTTCTGATCGTACCGTGGGTCCGTGTCCGGCGACCTCAATCGCTCAGAATCGTTTGTTCGAGCCTTTTGTAATTTGATCGCCTTCAGAAATAACAAGCAAAGCTCGAAGCCCGCGCAACGCGAGTTTTTGGAGTCCTATAGGTGATATTTATTTTCGTGGGCTGCAGAGAGCATTGAGCAAGTCGACCACGGGTGTTTGGACATATGTCAGAAATGCGATGGCACTACAGTTACAGAGAATAAATGCTGCTGCCTGTTGGGCAGCATTGTTGCCGCCCAACTATCGGGTGCAGGCTGTGCACAGTGCGGTATGTATCAGGGGATTGATAGGGACGCCACCCCAAATTGATAGGGACGTCGCACTTTTACCATCTCTCATTGGTTTAAACAGATTTGTTAACCCACTAAAGGCGGTGTTGCCAGAAGTTTCGAACAGTCAACTGTAAAGCCAATGCCGCGCTTGCGAGGGCTCCGGGTGTCTGGTGTGAGAGCAGAGTGTTAAGCATAATGCTATATCATATGCAGAAGCTGGCCTGCGCCTTTCATGAATAGCTTATTTTCTTAATATGTTGGTCGTCTAGAAGAAAGGCACTTCTTTCATCTATAAATTATGAGACGTCAAATACAAAGTCCACAAACATAAGACATCGCCAAGAGTCAAGTAACAAATCCACGAGCAGGATGTATTTGTGCGGCTATATTATAGTATAAATATTATGCAATATTCCTCTTGCCTTTCGTCTACAAGTAATTCGTCCTGCCCCGTGGCAGCTGTTGTGTTTCTAGACTATCACCCACTTCTGATTTAGTGAGTGGTCCTGACCGTCGCAAAGGGCAGACTTTCGAGGACTTGACGTGGCTAGCTGCGTGGAACTTACTACACCTTCACGATGCTCGTGTACGTGTTAGAGCCGGTCTAGGCCTGCCTTCGGCGCAAGGCTCCTCACTAATAGGTAGCTTCTCTTGGGATCTTTTTCGTTGTATACTTGGTTGAGTTCTCCTATCGCTTGCTTGTATCCCCGTAGTGTTCCCAGGACTAAGCCGCACTGACCTTCCGATACAGGTTGTCAGGTTTGCCAAAAGCAACCTCCTAAAACTTTTTATTTTAAGGCTAGTATATATATTTACTGTGTGGCAGCTTTAACGCTTATATAATAAAGGAAATTAAAAGAAGTATTTAATTATTATTATAATAATTATTAGCTTATAATATAGCGTTATTTAGTTAAATTAATTTACTTTAACTTATAATTACCCTATCTATTATTATTTATATTAGGAATACTAGTAATATTAATTTTT